CTTAACCTAACCCTAAACCTAACCCTAAACCTAACCGTTAAATTAACGAAAAACCTAACGCTAACCCTTAACCTAACGCTAACGCTAACGCTAACGCTCTAAAGCTAACCCTAACCCTTAACCTAACCCTAACCTTTTCGATCTTTTTTGTCGCGCTGTGATGACGTCAAAGGCGCGATTTTGTCGATCGCGCTTTTGCCGTCCGCGCTTTTGACGGGTCACGCATTTGCATACTTACCCATTGTATGATAAATGTATTAGTTTATTTAAAATGGAGATAAGAACACTTTAATTGAAATATAAACTGGCTAATTGATCAGTGAATTACTGAAAAGATTGAAAGGAGGGGGTATAGTCTCTTTTAATAGACATGTGCAAATTTTAATATACATTTAATCCATAGATGGGGTTATAGCATGTGCAGGTTAATATACATGGTAAAAGGTGAGATAGGTGAGACAATGGGTTCAAATATAGTGGTACCCTAGAATAGAAACAAAAGGTCAAAGAAACCCTTACTTTAGCACTATCTAAAAAGCTGGAGTTACTTCCTTTTTGTTATTTCCTTATTGTTTGTAGTTAGCTTTCTTGTGATTAACACTTTCACTGTCTCATCTCAGTTGCAGAATTCTTTTGGTCTGTGTGCTCCTAGCATCTGATTGATAAGAAATGATTTTTTTCCCTCTGAGAAGATGAACCTTAATTCCCAGAATTCTTCTTCACAATCATTCTAATGTCTTTAAGGGAAACAAATTCTCCAAGGTGGCTCACTGGGACACCTAAGTTGTTAATAGAGAAACTATTCCATTCCCCTCTTTTCTAACTGCAGAAGAAAATATGTTTAGCATTAATTGCTTAACATTTGGCAGGAGAAGACTTTTCCTCAGGGAGTTGGGAATTCCTCTGGATTTCTAAACTATTGTTAACCAATCTTAATGGTTGTTGAAGGGGCATCTCCTATTAATGCAGATAGATCTGAACAGCTCATAACAAATGTCTGACAGTTGCTATATATTTTTTCCAATTCTAATTACTAAAATGGATAATTCATTTTCTAAAATTTGTTTGATATGTAATGAACAGATCATTATTTCATATCTGATGGTGGTGTTGCAAAAGCCAACAGTTCTGGAAATTGATCCATACTGGTATGAAACAACTTTTGCCACAATGAAAGAAATCTTAAAAATTGAATCCCATTTTCACCTATAGTTTTAAAAATTTTTTACTGTACCATATATCCTTTACATCTCTACTATGTTAGCTTTGTACATGTTAATTGTTTCAAGGATATTATGTGGTTTTTGGGGAAAAGCTGTTATCAAAATATCTAATAACTGAAGGTTATTCATGTTAGCTAGATTAACAAATAAACCTTTTTAAAGTTCAAATAGTCTTTAATGACTTGTTAAAGAACAAAAACAAAAATTCTGTACATCACCTAGCTGGCATAATATCACACTGCACTTCTCAGATTTTGTTGATAATTACTCTTGTATCATTTCAATCAGAATTCTAACTTATCTTTAGTAACAGACTAATTATCCTGTAGCTTTTGCGTTCATTTTTCGTATACATTCCTTTGTATAGTTTCTGCCTTTCACAATTCTTAACTAATTCTTGCTCTTTAACTACATCTCTTTTTATACATATACATTATGAAATATCTTTATCTTTTTTCAGCATTTGTTGTTTAACATGGCTTTTCTTCCTTATCCACAATGTGTTTAACTTCATCCACCAAGTATTATTTTCCTTACATTCCATTCTATGTATTTCTGTGGAATTTTATATTTTTTTCCAAGCAAGTGTATGTAATAGGAAGAGGAGTAACCTTGAATAATTTATTTTTTATTTTATTTTATTTATTTAGTTTGCCAAACATGTACAAAGTAATAGGTATAAGTATAAATATGGACATGAACAAAGGAAATGAATACAAATAAATAGGGACAGTAGGACAGGGACAGTAGGCACGCTAGCATCCCCCCTTTATGGATCTCTTAGGAACAGGGTGAGGTCCATGGTAGACAGTTTAAGGTTGAAGCTGTGGGGGTTTGAGGATGTAACAACAGAGTAATAACTGGAGTAAGAGTAGCAACCAAGGCAATGGTCAGATAAAAGAAATATCAAAACTCAGTTTGAATTAAAATTTTGGATATTCTTCTGTAATTAAGCACAATATTGGCATTGAGATGAAGGTAGCAATTGACATTATGAAACCGATTCTTTGATTAATAGAACATCTGGTAACTATTTGCTTAGGTATAATTGTATTTGTTGCTGAGGATAAAAAACAGCAGCACTATGAACAAGACTCTTTACTGGAGGAGCCAGATGGTCAGTACTCTCAGAGATCATCAACAGAGAAGCTTGAAACACACAATGGTAAGTTTTTCGTTATGTTAATTTTATTAATCTGCTTAAATGTTCTATCATCACTCATTTTGCATTTAAATACTTTAAAAAAAAATTTTTTTGACAAACCAGATACTCTTTAAATAATGCATTTTTCCTGATTCTAAGACAAGTATCTTTTTGTTGTGCAGAAAACATGTTTTTTAATATATAAACAGACTATATAATTAGTTTTTCCCTAGTATTATAAAACTGTAGCATATTTTTTTCATTAAAAATATATTGAATTTGAGCATAAATTTCAAAAGTTTCTTCACATATTATCTAAAATGTTTATAGGATCAGTATATACAAGTATAGATTAGCATTCTAATACAAATGAACATCTGGGAATGCTTCTTGGTCAGTAGATATGGCAGGCATCCTCAAACTACAGCCCACGGGCCAGTTACAGCCCCCCAATACAAAGTATCTGGCCAATGGAGTGGTGGGATGAAAAACAGCTACCAGCTTGTGAAAAACAGCCTTTCAGATGGTTTTCACATCCATGGGATCGAGGACCAGTGGGTGAGTAGGGGACAGGGTAGTTCTGGCTTCCAATGCAGCTGCCAGCTTGTAAAGTAGTGTTTTAAAAGTCTTTAAAAACAGCTTTTCACATGTTTTTCACAGCCATGTGATCCAGGGCCAGTGGGTCAGTAGGGAAGGGGCTGCTTTTAAAGTAGTGCTTTAAAAGTGGATGGGTGGGGGACATGTCTCCATGTCTCCTAGCTTTTTCAAAATCAGCTGAAGTTGGCTAACACTAATTCAAATGCAACATCAGTATAATGTCTGAAGGAGAATTCACCCACTGCTTTGATTCTTCCTGTTACATACTGACAGACAGTATGGTAGTTTCCACCAAGGTCCTCTGATCTGGCGGGAAAATACTCAAAGGTGATTGGTTAAACATCTGACAGCTCCCTATAAAAGGGCTGCTGCCAGTCAAAGTCTTTGCTGGATTGTACATAGTGTTCACTAATAAAGAGCTGTTGTTACTGTTAGCCTGAGTCTGCCTCATCCATTCATCTGATCTAACACTGGCAACGAAGGTGGGATCAGAAGGCAACTAGGCACAAAAAGAGCTGACCTACAATCCAGCAAAACAATCCAGCCCAGAGCTAAACACGGCATTGAGCAGCCATCTTTAAGCGGCAAATTCAAATCTGCCTTGACTGAATCAAGATTACTACGCATGCCCCACCAGCTTCATACAACCCAACCACCGAGCACTGGGACTCATATATGATGAGGTTCGAATGCTTCCTTGAAGCCAATGACCTCCTGGGCCTGTCTGAAGGCTGAAAGAAAGCCATGTTCCTGAGCTATTGTTGGCCAGAGGTATTCGACACCGCCAAGAACCTAGCTGAGCCAATGATGTCAGTCAGTCGCTTGGTTGGTGCTTCAACAGATGCTGAGGACACACTACGCTCCCAAGCTGTCTAAATACTTGCAGAGGCACAAATTCAACCTCCCTAACCAGAAGGAAGGTGAAACAATCAACCAATATGTTGCTGCGCTTCGTAAAGCTGCAGCGTATTGTGAGTTTTGCAATCTCGATGAACTGATAGAATTATTTGCAGGGTGTAAGACATCAACCTGCAGCAAAGGTTGCTGGCAAAGACCAACCTTATGCTGCAATTCAAATTAGATGAGGCCAGAGCAACAGAGTCCTCAACCAAGTTGATGGAAACACTTCATAGGCAAAACATCCCCAAGAACACATGCAGAGCAGCCGAAGTGCATCGCGAGACTGCAGAGCGAGACCTCTCTGACAGCGTGGATGAGGTCTATTGCATTCACAGAGAGAAGCAGAGAACAGTGTGAGAATTTGAACCCTGTTTCCTACCTTGTGCCAGCTGTGGAGGAAACCACCAGTGATCTGCCTGCCGTTTTCAAGACGCCATGTGCCAACGCTGCGATCACAGAGGGCACATCGCAAGAGGCTGCAGGAGTGAGTTTCCAACTCCACCACTATGAAAACCCCAAGCTCCACAGGCTGCAAGGCCCCGTCCACCTCGGCAAGAGCAATGGAAGCCGCAACAGAGGGCAGAGAACACAGATGCCAAAGACACATTCCAAACAAACATCGGGCAAGCAACACACCGCGGAACAAGAAACTGCAGATCTCCATCCTCCTTGAAGGGTCTCCATGCAGCATGAAGATAGATACCGGCTCATCGCTGATCATCATGTCCTGGGCCACACTGAAAAAGACTGTCCCTAATCTACAGAAGCACAAGCTGAGGGTTCCAGAGATACGCCTAAGCGACTACCAGATCCAAATCCCCATTTTGAGTCAAGGCACCTTCCAGGTGCAATTTTAAAAAATTGACAGCTTGCTTCCTGTTACCATGGTCAGCAGAGCCCTGCAGAGCCACCTAGGTTTAGATTGGTTCGAATCCCTGGATTTGGGGGAGACCGGCATCAATGCCATTAAAGATGACAGTACCGAAGAGCTAATGCAAGAGTTCGAGGATGTCTTCGGCAACTGGTCTAGGCAAGTATGTGGGGACCCCAATTTTATTTAATTTGGACCCCAACATTGCCCCCATTAGATTAAAGCTCCAGAGGGTCCCTTTCACTCTCAGTCCAAAAATTGACCTTGAATTGGATAAATTAATTGGCCAGGAGATTCTGGAGCTGATTGATCACGCATGCAGGGAGACCCCTATAGTGACCCTGGTCAAGCATGATGGGTCAGTCTGCATCTGCATGGAGTATAAATGCACCATAAATAAGTGTAGTTCACTCCCTGGGCTCTGGAAAAGTGTTTGCTAAATTAGATATGGCGCAGGCATACCAGCAATTGCCTGTAGATGGCGCCACAGCAGAGGCCTAAACCATTGTGACACATAGGGGTGCCTTTAAATGCACCCGGCTACAATTCGGAGTTAGTATCGCCCCTGGACTGTTCACGTGATGGAATTACTTTGACAGGGGATACCAAGAGTCTTCCTCTATTTGGATGACATTTTGGTATCAGTTCCAAATAAGGGGAAAGTGAAATCAAATCTGATGATGACCCCTTATAAAGTCCTCATGCAGGCCCCATGATCCCAGTAGAACTAAAAGGACCCTTGACAGGTTCCCAGGGGAAGATTCTGGCTGCACCAGATGTGTAATTAGCCTAGAGGTGGTAGAAAAAATGAACACCTAACAGGGCCAGTGGTCACCAGGAGCCAGGGGAAAGTGGATTTGGAGGTGCTCACTGATTTGAAGAAGAGGCTAAGGGAAGGCCTTGCATCTAATGAATAATTCAAGCTACACTCCAATAAGTACACCATGCAGGATGGCCTTGCATGGGTAGGAGCCAAGCTCTATGTACCTGTTAGTCTAAAAAACGTTGTCCTCCAACAGTCCCATGACTCAAAAATGGCTGGGCATTTTGGGTTTGTGAAAACATTACATTTGGTTAAAAGTCAGTTTTGGTGGCCTTCTCTGAAAAAAGACATAGAATCCTACATTGCTAGTTGTCCTGTTTGTGCTGCAGCAAAGAGACCACCAGGTAAATCTTATGGACTACTTCAAAGTGTCGCCCGGTCTGGTGCACCGTGGAAGAAAATATTGATGGACTTTATTACGAGTTACCAGAAAGTCTTGGAAATACCATCATTTGGGTGATCACAGATTTGTTCTCCAAACAAGTGCATTTTGTGCCCTGCTCCAAGATTCTGTCAGCTAAAATACTGGCTAAACTGTTTATCCTACACATGTATAGGCTACATGGAGTTCCTGAACACATTATTTCAGATAGGGGGGGGTCCAATTTACCTCCCTCTTATGGAAGGAGTTTCTAAAGTTAATAGGCTCTGCCCAGGGTCTAAGCTCTGCCCACTATCCACAGACAAATGGGACTTGTGAATGGGCTAACTCGGTTCTAGAGCAGTATCTTAGGTGCTATGTCAATTATCAACAGGATAATTGGGCTGACCTCATGCCCTATGCAGAGGTAGCGTACAACAATTTGATACATAGCAGTACTGGATTGACCTTTTTCAAAGTAGTGTTTGGCCAGGATTTTGTACCTATTCCTGAATTGCCTCAGGAGAAACCACAGAACCTATCTTTATCTGAGTAGATTGATCAGTTACTGGCCTATGACTTAGATGAGGCTCACCAAGCCCACAAATGACAAGCTGATCAAAAATGGTCAAAGCCAAAAGAATATCAGGTTGGGGATAGGGTGTTCTTGTCCACTAAGTATCTTCAGACTACCCAGAAATTGAATGTTTTCCCTGAGCAGCCGATGGCTGCAAAAGGTGTGAGGGGAGGTAGGCAGGCAATGGCTTGGGGGCTGATTTACACCACAGAGGTGAAATGCCAGCCTTCAAGTTGCAAAGATGAGAGGCCCACCTTTCCTTGGCTTTGCGTGGGGGTGGCCGATGAGCCAAAGAAATTAAGCTCGAACGGCTGGTCTTCTCCTCCTCCCTTTTCCCGCTGCACTGGCCATGGGCATGAGGGAGTCGCTGTGGGTAAACTCGAGCCTTGCGCAGCTGAGGCGAGGGAAGCCCTCTGCCTCATGCTTCAGTAGAGCGAGGGAAGGTTCCTGCTCTGTAGAGGACTGAGTAAGGAGGGCTTTCCCGAACACTGGCCTTCCATGCGGCTGCTGGGTCGCAGTAGTTGAAAGTTATAGCAAACGAACACCTCATTCGCCTGGAGGGAAGAAGGGCAGTCACTTCAGCTCCTCTAGGCTGTCTGTTTCTGCTTGGAGCAGCCATGATAATATTCACAAATGAGCCCCACATGCAACCTTCGGCCCTCCCTCCCTCCTCCCAGCCTTTCTCGCTCATTCTCTCTCCCTTTCCTGGTCATCCCTCTCCTGCACTTTCCCTCATCTTTCCCTTCCCCCAGAGGAGCTGCCAGAGGAGGCCAGCAGACAGGAGCAGCGCGGTGCTCCTCTCGTGTTCCCTTGGGCTGTTTATTTGGCCCGGCCCAGCCATTGTAGCTGCGGAATAAATACAGACCCCCTCGCTCTTCAGGGTGAGATGCAA